ATGCCGATTTTGGTGAAAATCGATACCGAAAAGTAATTAATGGATTTTTTTTTCCCTTTTTTTTTTTCATGACAGAAACCAATAGCGGAATCCTTTTATTTTTTCCAGTATTGGATACCAAAAATTTCGGTATTCATTTTTTTTATTTTGATATTCTCGCAAAGTGGAGAAAGGAGAGAGAACACTTGGAGAGGATGAAAAAGGAGGAAGAGGGGATAGAAGTGATGCACTAAAATCATCCTAACAAGTGTATTAGTCTCCCTAAGTAATATAATGATGAGAAAAGTGTCGAATCCATGAGAATTGTGTCTAATTAAATATCAAAATAATTAATTCAAATTTATTTGAACAACCAAATGAGAAGAAAGTTTAACTAAAAAAATAATAAAAAAAAATAACAATTAAATTAAATCTAACCAAGATATGAGGTACTAAGGCATTGACTTCACCATAATCAATCAATATAAATTATGAATTACCAAATTGTTGAGTGTTATTGCATGTGATAGCGGATTTCCCTAAATTAATTAACTAGCTTTCTCAAGTTAAATTATTCCTTCACTTATTTGTTAAATTAATCATATCTCTACGTAATTTTAAACAAATTTATGAGTATTAAATTTTATGGAAACCTCTAGTTTAAGAAGGGGGAGCTCCTAACTCTCTTCTCTTCCTCTACTACTACATGTGAGCTAATTACCTCTCAGTCTCATAGTCTAGCACACGGTTTATATTATTATTGGTCTAATCTACGCAATTCTTTCTCAAGTTCATGCATAAATCACTAAATTGAAAGACGATCAGGCTTCCAATGCATTAAGTTCAATAATATAAATTCTTCACGCGAATAACTTTAATTGAAAGAATAAAATCACAAAATTCATATTAAATTGATTAGGCTACATCGTAGCCCTAGTAAAATAAATCAGTTCATAATAAAAATAATAAAATTTACAATCATAGTTATGAACAAGGAAGAATAAAACCCAATTTGAGAAAATTGCAATCTTTGATCTCCTATTGTTGAATCCTCTATCTTGACTTCTAAAAATGCTCGAAAGAGGGCTGCCACAAGCCTCCCAAAGCTTCCCTTAATTTTGACTTTGGATAGGTATTTATAAGATTTTACAAACCCTAATTGAAATAGAAGTATGACTTGGAACAAAAATAAGAAACTAAATTTTGGATGCTGATCGCGTGGTGCTAACGCTTCGGATTATGTATTGACACAAAATAGGAAATAGAATCTGGACGTTTAACGCGTAGTGTTGACACCCCGATCATGTGTCGACACTACTACACCCGTGTCGGGTTTCTAGTCTCCTTTTGCAATTTCTTCAATGGTAAAATAGCAGATTTAGTTCTTGACTTCTGGATTATGCACAAGTTGATCCTCAAATCTTTGATCTCTTCAATTTACTTCTAAAAAGTAGGATTTCTTCCAATTAAATCATTTCCTACACAAAGAATGAAAATCATATAAAATCAAACAAAATCCCATAAAACTCATCCAAATATCAATAATATCAAAGTAAAAATTCCCTATTAATATGTATATAAATTTAGCTCATCAAGAAGCAAATAAGATTATGAAGAGAATGGGAGGAAAGAACGTGATAATATGCTATGTAATTTTTTATAGTTGTGAAAAAACTATAAAAAAATGGTTGTAGATTGAAAAGAAATCATATTTAGGAGTTGGAAACTTGAAAATGAAAGTGTTTTTTTTTTTTTTTTGATATTGATTGCATAATGGGAAGTAATTCTCTCCTATCTCTTATTTCTTATTTCACTTCATCCGCATGTTATGCGATTCGAACTTAAAATCTCTTACTTCCAACAGAAAGAAATTATTATTAAATTATTTGGGTTGTTGACAACATTAGAGATAAGATTTGAACATCATACTATCATGCTAATATGAGAAGTTAGAAGGTGACCATGGACATTCTCAAAAAGGAAAAGATTTTAAGGGTAGATTAAAAATGGTGGAGGCAGCGGTGGAGAATGGGTGATTTAGGATTTTATGCTTTTTTATTTCTTTTTTATTTTACTTGTTTTAAGAGGGTGTTTGGTGTGGATTGTGAAAAGAGCTTTTTGGCTCTAAAAGCACAAGTTTCACCAAATGGGTCAGCTTCTCAAACTTGCTGTACCTTTCGAGAAGCTCACCTTCTCGCCATTCCTTTGCAAAGCCCGAAAGCTCCAATTTCTTACTTCCGCGGGAGCTTCTCGCTTAATGTTTAATGAAATTGACATGGCATTCCCATTTTGTCCTCACACTTCCTTTTATTTACAAAAAAGCAATATATAAAGGTTCCTTTTATACCTCCTCTTTCTTTCCCCTGTCTTTCTTTCTTTGTCTTTAAAGCAGCCAAATGTGCCTTCTTCTCCCTCCCTTCTTGCCAACCTTCTTCCAAAGCAGACCGGATATATAAAAGCATCTTAGTCACCGGCCTTCTTTCTCCCTAACTACTTCAAAGCAGAAAAGCCCATTTCCCCTCACCGAAAAATCCCCACCAAAATCCCATTTCTCCTCTTTCTATAAGTCTCCTTTTTCTCTGATTTTTTTTTCCTTTTTTGGTGTTTCTACTACTAATTTGGTGGTGATGAATGATGATGGTTGGTTGGTAGTGTGAGTTGGTGAAAGTTTTAATTTTTAATCCCTTGTCGATCCTTCTCTTCTTGCAGATCTGGGCGACGTGACAAAGCAGCATGGGTCAGTGAAGCCGAACGAAGTGGCAATACTGAAGGGGAGTGAAGCGGAGGGTGTTCCAGCCATGGGACTTTGGATTCTCGAAGCATTTTGGGAGTAAGTACAAGCTCGAGGAGGAGGTTGGGAGAGGCTATTTTGGTTATACCTACTCAGCCAAGTTCAAGAAAGGGGAACTCAAAGGACAACAAGTTGCTATTAAGGTTATACCCAAAGCGAAGGTAAGCTTGCAGTTGTAGTACGTGTTGATTTGGGGACCTTGGATTGGAGATGTAGTTGTAGTATATGTTGATTTGCCTTTTTTTCTCAAGATAAAAATTGATCTTTCTTTTTAATCTTTTGGGGGAGAGGGAATTGTGCCATTCCATTGTCTTCCTTTTAAGATACTAATGCAATTTCTGAGTACATAAATGCATGCATTTAATTTGTTGTATTTTCACTCATCCATCTGTTTGATGCATAAAGAGAAATTCTGAAAATTTTTAACAATTTATTACAACATATATGTTGTCTTGTTGATAAGATGTCTTTAACTAATTTCTTTTGGTTTAATTTCTTTTGGTTTAATTTCCTTACGTACATGTATTTTTCTCCTCTTCATTTGATATAAGTTATTTTTGCACCAAATTAATTACCCTGCACAAGGAGTATGGAGGTCTGCTTGCTTTCTTTGTTGTTTTGATCATATGATTTTTCAAGCTTGCTAAGCCGGGGACGATGTATTTTTTTCTTTTTATAAAAGAATTTGGAGTTTAATATATATAGTTTGCATTTCATAAAAATAATTAAGAGGTTAGTGTTGGGAATATTGTCTTCTCAAAATATTTTTTTGGATGTGTTTAAAGAACTAGATACCAATTATTATATTTAAAAACTTATTGTTAAATTAAAATTTTTATTTTCCAATGATTTTTTTTTTCTTTTTAAGACATTAAATTTTACTATCTCTGCAGAATCTTCTTTCTCCATCTACGCATTGCCTTCTTTTCCGATAGATAAACCCTGTTCTATGACTATGGTAGGAGATGAGGGGTCCTTTAGGGGCAATCATAGCTTTGGGTTCAACCAAGGAAACCCAAAAAGGTAAGATTTTCTAGCATACCCAATGCATATATTTCTCTAACTTCCAAATGGGTGTCTTTTAGTTTTGTAGAGGTTGATCAATTTGTTGTTTTTATAGTAGGTTTTACTGTGTCTCAAACCTAATTGGGTTTTCTGTTTTGGCTCACTTACAATAATGTATGTAATGGTCTGTTTGTAAGTTTGGTTGACGCTAGGCATGATTAAAATTTTCAGGTTAATTTACACCTATAAAAGACTATTTTATAATTCTTCCTAGTTTTAGCATTCTGTTTTTGGTGTTATTATGTGTATCCATACTTCCATTATTCAACATTTGTTTCTAAGTGTTTGTAGATCTTGTTTTAAGGCCAAAATTACTTCAATATATAAGATGGCTGAAAAAAGGTCAAAGGTAGTGTGGGATGCATTCACAACAAAAATTTTCTGTGAGATATGTGTGGAAGAGGTAAATGCCGGTAATCGTCCTAATAGTACTTTAATAGATTAGGGTGGACAAATGTGAAAAAAAAAATTAATTAAAGAACAAACAAGCATTATATTTATAAACAACTAAGAAATCGGTGGGATGCATTAAAAAGTGATTGGGTTTTGTGGAATCAACTCTTAAAGCAAGAAACAGGACTAGGGTGGAATCATGAAAAAGGCACAATTGATGCTACTCCTCAACGATGGGCTAAATTGAAAGTGTTGACTCAATGTGCTCTAAGAGGGGGATGAATTGGAGTTCCAAAAATTCTCTCAATAGATCACTCTTGAAGGAATAATCACATCCCAAGAACATACACTAATAGAACAAGAAGAGGATTAAAGTAATGGTCACTCAAAGATCAAAAACTCAAGTTAAAACTCAAGTAGGTAGGTAAAGATATTCAATGCAATGTTCTCCAAACTTTTTCAGATATGTTACCAACCATATTTATAGCCCCTTGCTCGAAAATAGCCGTTTCTAACCGTTGGGGGTCATTAAATGCTCTGTAGGACGCATGACTTGAGTTGTAGAACTGTCAATACAATTGGCTTAAGTTTCTAGAGCCGGCTCTATAAAGGTGGCTTACACTTCCAGAGCCGGCTATCCGGGTTTGCAGCCCATTCTGTTTTTCTCAAGAGCCGACTGCAAAACTTTGAGCCGGCTTTGGAACTTCGGCTTTGGAACTCTGGTTTTGGAACTTCGATTTTCAATACATTAAATATTCTTCAAATAAGTCGACCGTTGTGCATTAAATGCGCCCTCATAACCGGCTATAAAGTGGAGCCGGCTCTGCTTCCATTTTCCGTGCACGTCAAAATAACAGTCAAATTTCTGGCCTGTAGAGCCGACTCAACAAAATCTGTAGCCGGCTCTCTGCATTTTTGCTTCCCAGAGCCGGCTGCAATTTTCTTAAGTTGGCTTTCTGCATATTTTTATCCTTTGAGCCCTTTTTAATGCAATCTCATTTTGCTTACTTTGCAGTATATTGGCAATTTAACTACTGTCATAACTCAAATTTTAATAGAATTTTATTTTCATTTTTATGTTTTCCTTGTTAGGTTTTGGAGCAAAAAGGAAAATTTATGAAGAAGATTGGGAAGGAAGATGAGAGAAAGGACTCAATTGAAGAAATTGAAAGTTAGAGGGGTGAAATGTAAAGTCCAGCCCAAAACCCATCAAACCCAAACCAAAACCCAAATTCAAATCCAATTACCCAAAAAACCCAAAACCCAAAATCCATTTAACCCAAACCCAAAAAAAAAAAAAGGGGCTGAAAAGGTCCCCGTCCTCTCTCTCCTCCAGAACCTTCTTCGTTCCCCCTGCCCACCAGCCATCACCGGCCTTGCTCTGCACCAACCCAGCCGCCTGCGCCCCCTGCTGCCAACGCCTGCACTCTCCTCCCGAACCAGCGCCCCCTGGCCTCTGCACGCCTGCACTCTGCGCCCAATCCCTGCCCTGCACCGAGCCCTGCCTTGCACGCTTCTGTTCTCTCTCCTCTGCGCCTCACTGCCGGCCTTGCTTCCTGCACCTGCTCTGCACCGAATCTGCGTCAATCTCCAGCTCTGCATTGGCCATCACCGGCAATCATGTCATGCATGCCTACACCCCTCTGCACTCTCCCCTCTACGCGCCTGATCCTGCAATCACGCCCCTGTTGCTTGCACGCCAGTCACTGCTGCTGCACAGCGCCTGCACTCCTGCTCGCTACAGTACATGCCAGACGAAATCTTCATCATTACCGATTGACAGGAGCAAGTCTTTTTATTTTTTATTTGGGTATATATATATGGAAAAAAATCAGAAGAGGGGGGGATGGTTGGTTGATTTTGGGTCTCTTTGTTGGGGAGTTTCGTCTGAGTTTTTGAGAGCAATAGAAAGCGATTTACTGGAGAAGAAAGGGG